TTTTAGTAGAGCATGTTGGGGGTTCTTATTAAATTGTTATTTTTCTCATTGCAAATAAGATGTTGCATTGGTCGTGAGCAACCCTATCTCGATAATCAATATAATGAAAGCATTTTGAATGAGAATTAATTATTAGCTAATATAAATCTTCTATTATGTCAACCTAAAATAAACAATAAGACATTATTATATTATAACAATTTTTTATAAAGAAAAAAGATTGTACTAGTGGAAGAAGGTGAAAAACTTACCATATATTTAGTATTACTACTAATAAATTAAATTCATTGTTGGGTATATCTTCAATACCATTGCATGTACTCAAATGTTCTATCAAACTCAAAGGCCGAAGGAGCATTAACAATAGTAAGTAGCCATCTATCTCATGCTTAAATGAATCACGTAGGAAAAGTGAAACAGAGATTTTCATAGTTAACAATGAATAAAATGCCACGTCAATAAAAAAGCTGAAATCGTTCACTCAGTGAACGATTTCACTTTCATTAATTAATAAAAAAAATTTTTTGATTATAAAATCGTTATTAGCTTAAATGATTTTCATAGCAACCATACTTGTTTTGGTATGAATAATTTTTAGTGTAACAGTTAGCTAAATATTTTTTACGATGCAGCATTTCAATAAATTTTTTTACTGTTTACAGTATGTTAATAAAAAAAGCCTCATGGACCATAATTTAGTGGTCCCCCAAACATCAACAACAACAGATCACATGGACTGTAACACAGATATGGCCTAAATAATTAAGAATCGCTAATTTTTTTTTGTGGGAGCAAATGAGGATAATATAACAAGATTCATTTCGCCAACATTATATATATATAGATATATATATATAAACCAAGATTCATTGGATTTCTTTGGAGGGGACGTCTAAGTAACCTGAATTTGGATTTTTTTTAATATAAAATCTTTAAATTTGCTAAGTAGCCTGAATTATTTACTTAATAGTGTGTTTTTAATTATATTATTGAATTTTATCAATATTTAAAAAATATCAAAAATATATTTTCTTTAAAAATTCAAAACAATCATCATAATCAGACTATATATACTTTTCATCCCTTTCAAAATTTGAAATTTGGTTATTTTTTAAGTATTATTGACAAAATCCCTCATGACCATCAATTAAATCAAAAAATTATTAGTGTACCACACATGAAGCACTTATTGAAAGAGTGAATTTAGATCATTATTGGAATCTGTCCACACCTGAAAAGAATGCTTTCAAAAATATTATAGGATAATCATATCGGCTCAAAAAATAATAGTGTTAGTTTTATTTTTAAGAATCAATCTAAATTAGCCTCTCTGCGGAATGATAGACAGGATCATGATGCTCATTCCAAGAAACCAGGCCTTAGAAGAAGTGATTTTTCAGTAGCATTATCCACGAATTTATTCATACTAACCAGAAGTTTGTTATCTTTCCACTGTATTTTTATTGCAACTAGCGTTAATCCCCATGCATTTCAAGAGATAACAATATATATAATCTAATATTTAAAGCAGCTAAGCCTTACTTAGAGGCCTATACTTAATAAAGTTGATTGAGATAATATAGTTTAGCACAACTTGTACTCAAGAGGCTCGGTATTTGCAAGTGGAATATATAGATATATATATATATATACACACACACCTATATTTCATTTTAAGAATAAAAAAACTTCAGGCAAACGATCCAAGGGGTCCACATCAATAAAATATAAAATTTATAGGAACTGGAGTTCATTAGAGGTTAGAAATATTTAATGAATCGTATTATAAAATTAATTATTTGCTAAGCACAAACCACATAGTTTAATTTAATGAGAAAAAAACTGGATTAAATTTGGGAGGCACTAAAGCAACCATACCATAGTTAAATTAATTACATACTAAACAGCACAAAATAAATAAATAAATAAATAAATAAATACTCATACGCTAGCATGAAGGAATCCTGTCATCCATTTATATCGATAAATCCACCTAAACTATTATTTATTAAAAGACAAAAATTTAGACCTTATCAAAATTAAAAAAATAAGATCAACATTAATAATTTATTTGCAATATATATGAGAAAGCATAAATTTAGTGAACAAAACATAGACTCAAAAAATATGAGGAAGAGATCAAACAGAATCACCCACATGCCTGATAAGTGGACCATCACTTCAAATTTTTTACTACTTACATCTTAAATTACAAGGCATTTTTAAAAAAAATTAACACAATAAAATATGAGACACTTTAATAAAAATAATATTTTATTAATGATGTTTTCTAATAATACTCTTTACATATATTTTTTCTCTTTAATTTTTTTATAAATGAAGTATTAAATGAAAGATATTTTTAAAGATTTATATTTTATGTTAAAAATATAAAATTATAAAATATATTTAATAAATTATTAATATGTGTGATTTATATAACAATATTTTATACTTAAAAAATGGAGAGAGTAGTTTCCATTCGTCCAAGAAATGGATGACAAAACATTCTTTCATGTGACTATTATTACCCATCGGATCTTAACTATTAAATTTTACGGTTGTCCCCCACATTGAGTAGAACCCTTCAAAGTGATCCTTTCAACACTACAAAATCTCAATCACTTATTTGAATCTCCAAGATGGGAGAGAAAACAAATAAGCCACTACATCTTGACTCAAAATTTAAATTTATAACTTCTTAATTCCATTTATTATGTAAAAGATTAACTTTTTAGTCATTGAATTTTTTCAATTATTGATTTGATCTCTAAATTTAACTTAATTCAAAACATTTTAATTCTTATTATTTCTTCACTTGAAACAATTCAATCTTTATAATTTTTCTTAAGTCAATAAATCACAAGAACTAAATTATATGAGTCAAACTTCAAAAATTAAATTGATGATTGAATAAAAGTTTTAAGGAATAAAAGTTATATTATTTTATATATATATTATTTATTAAGCTCAATTTTATTTTATATAAGATTTCTCATATCCATTCACATTTAGATATACTAACACATATCATCATGTTTCTTAATCAAATTTACAGAAAATAACAAAAACACCAACACACATATATATATATATAACCAATCAAAGTAAGACTTATATATTTAGTTTTGTATTTAATATACTTTTATCTAATTAAACCAAGACAAATGAAATTTAATGTATTAAAAGTATTAATACCAGAGTTGTTATATAATAAATAATCTATAAAAATTAATATATATTGAATTAATTAAAAATAAATTTATAAATATATAAAGTTAAGTATATAAATTTTTGTTGATCAAAATACCATACCAGCTACCTCTTAATCAGACTTTATGGCAAATATAAATCAAGCGTTCTGTACAATTATTCCAACGCTTGCGCAAAATGATAGCTCGTCCTATAAATTTGAAACACGTCTCCTTTTTCTAGCTGTCATCTAGCCTTTCCTAATCAAAAAAAAAAAAAAACAAAAAGAAAAGAAAGAAAGAAAGAAAGAAAGAAATACGCAGCTAGTGCACTTAAAGCAGGAGACACACACTCACACGTTTAATACGTGGCAAAGTTGGAAAGTAACTTTAAGACAAAGTTAGGGTCCCCCCCCCCTCCAAAATTTGCTCCTTATTTTTTGGGACAAACTTTACTCTTTTATATGTATTATCATTTAAATGTCTAGTCTTCTAGGTAACTATTTATTCAGGTTATTAATCGTAAAAAGATAAAATTAAAATTTTTAATTTTCATAATTATAAAAATATAACTATCATTTACTTATAATACAAAATTTATTAATTTTATATTATACTCTCTCCGTTCAAAAATATAAAACATTTTTAACCAAATTTTACCTCTTAATAAAGTAGTTATTTATTTTCAAACTAACACTATCTTTATATTTTTATCCTAAAATAAACATAAAAGGATTTATTCAATAAGAGTGCTTTTGAAAAAAAGACGATAAGTATATATTGAAAAACTAAAAGACATTATATTTTGAATATTTAACCTTTCAAAAAATAATTATATTTTTAATAAAAAGAAGTATTAATAACTAAAGAGGGTGTATGTATATGTGTGTCTATATATATATATATATTCTTCCTCTGTATCACCATATAAATTATAATAACTAATTTTTAATTTACAAAAATATAATTGAAATCTTAAAATTTTAAAAATATTCAGATATTTTTTATTTATACTGTGAATACTTATATAAAATTTTGATAACAAACAATTAAAATTTTAATTTATAATTTTTTTAAAGAAAATAATAAATAAAGTAGAAGTATAGTTAAAAAAATATATAAAATTATTTAACATCATACATTTTTAATTAAATAAAATTTTTAAAAATATCTTATATATTATTATATTATTATCCAGAGCGATGAGAAACCAGGTTACTCAGCTAATTTTCCCTTGAAAAGAGAGCGGATGCCTGTCAGGTACTCCCCATGGCGTAATTGACGTCAAGTCACTTTCCAGTTTCTATTCAGTGCCTTTTAGACGAAGCTGCTTCAATTCTCACCAACCGAAATAAAATAAATAGGTCATGCATGCTTGTATATAGAGGCGAGACCAAAAAAGTTTATTAAAAAAGGTAGAAATAACAAAGCATATATGTTAATGAAAAAAAGCTAAACATATATATGCGTGTGTGTGTGATGAACATAATATAAATATTTTTAACCAATGCATTTCATATTGTAATAGTTAATAAAATTGAATATGTAACATGTATGTTAACAAATTTCTTTATTAAATTTATAAATAACATTACTAAAATAATAAATTAAGTTATGATTTCAACAAGTCTGCTTTATGTTATATAGACTAATATTAAATATGCAAAATGTTTACCATAAAAGTTAATTTATTGAGTTAACAAAACTCTATTAAATTAATAAATGAAATTACAATCTTAACAAGTCCATTTCATATTGTTACAAAGTAATATTGAAAATGTGAAATAATATTGAGCTTTAGCCATTGCGATGGTCAACCATTGGCAACAACAGGTGGGTGTTTTAAAAAATTATTGAGTTAATACGTAATTCAAACCTTGAATTGCAATTCAAAGGCGATGTTAAACTCTTAAATAATTAAAGTTGAGACAATTTTATTCACACCATTAAATTTAAACAAAGGTCAGTTTTTAAAAAAATAAGGTCTAATATGTCATTTTCACAAAATTTCATTCTTCCTTTACTCATTTAAGAAAAACAACTACACATTGGACCCTATTTTTTTAAAAAAATGGTGGACGTTTGTTTAAATTTAATGGTAAAAAAATTACCTTAATTTTAATTATTTATATTTAAAATGTACTTTTAAAAAAGTTGGGGTTCAAATTACCTCTAAATCTTTCATGATCAAATTGCATATTAACCCAAAATTATAACTAAAGAGTATTTTGGTCATTTTATTTATAATCAAAAATTAAATTAAAATTATATAAAAAAAATTTAATCATTTATTTTTATAGTTTTAATCCACTTATAATTCAGTCTTTCAATTTTAATTTGTTATAATTCAGTTTTTAAAGTTTTGATTAGATTGTAAATTAGTCATTAGACTTTACCTCTTATAGCTTAATTCATAAAATTTTAATATTTTAAATATTAATTTTTATATTTTAAAAAATAAAATTATATTATTAAAAACTGTTTGCAATTCTCGACTCAATCCAATTCAATTTTGAATTTTGATGGGTTTAGAGGAAGATTCTTTCCCTGACGTCATATATGATAGTCCGTACTGACGTCATTAACTTTTCATTGAATTGGTATTGGACAAAATGTCCTTGAAATCAGATGACAATGCTTCCACATTGTTTGATTTTATGACAAGAGCATACGTACAATCCAATTCACGATGCTTTTTCCAAGACACGTGGAGAAAATTGAGGAACTTGCGGGATTACCATTACCCCTGTTTAAATAATTTGAATTGTGTGGTGCCGTCATTAATCGCATTTCGTGAAAAACATTTCTAACAATTTTATTTAATGTAATTGTATATTTTAAAATTAAATTTAATATTTTAAATTAAACTAATTCAACCTTTTCAATCAATTAAATCAAGCTTTACTTCATAGCTTAAAAGTATACCAAAAATCACTCATGTATTCATGTTTCTTTTCAGTAATTATATACTTAAAAATATTTTTTAATATATCATCCATATAATTTTTTTGTATGTTAATTAACTTTGAAAAGAAAAACTATCCAAACATAAATTTTATTATAATTATTTTTTTAATCAAATTGAGTTTTATTAAATATATTTTTGACATACAGATTTTTATCAAACTAGAAACCCAAACACACTTTACACTATAACGCTGTCAAGTACCAACAACTCACTTCCATTAGAATAACATTAACAAGAACAAGACAGTCAGTGAATTCTTAGTGCATGTTTTGGGTAAATAAAATAATCAATTTTGGAAATTAAAATCATGGTTTTATGAAAAATATTCAAACACTTCTATTACATGTCAAAACTAATTTTGAACCTAAATAATATTTTAAAAAAATATATCTAAAAATTTACATACTAAAATCAACTATAAATCTAAAATCATGATTTTTTTTAAACTATCCAAACACTCTCTAGACCACTCTTGTGAAGAAACCACCTCTCATTGTTATTAAAAATAGGAAAATGAATATAGATAAAAAATATGAAATCATCAAAACATATTCCTCCATTTAAAAATATAAAGTTTTTTGAGGAGTTGGATATTAAAAAATGTAAGGCATTTTTAGTCTTTCAAGGATATAATCATTGTCTTTTGAAAGTAGGTAACTACTTTATTAAAGAATAGATTCAATTAAAAAGATTTATATTTTTGAACGGAAAAGTATATATATTTTTAATATATACAAGTATACAGAGTAACTATACAGAAAACAAAATTAAACTTTATCTAAAACCAAGAAGTTTCCAAAATCAAGCTACGGGTGATTAAAAATTTTAATATTAAAGTTATCTTGGAATGACTTGTGGGTAAATAGGTTGACAAATGCAAAATATGGTTGAAAGTAATTGTTCGATCCTTTATAATGATATTTTTATTTTCTTGATAATAGGTGTGTTCAGGGTAATTATGCTATATTATGAATCAAAGTAAATGTTGATTTTAATAAATTTAGGATTTTAACAAAAATTAAATCCTTTCAAAATATTCATAAATTCTGCGGCTGCCGGTGGGTGACGAACTGAAAATCATAAATTCTTTTACTGCTGCTGCTGGTGGGTGAAAAACAGAAAATCATAAATTCTTTTACTGCTGCTGCTGCTGGTGGGTGAAAAACAGAAAATAATAAATTCTTTTACTGCTGCTGCTCGTGGGTGAAAAACTGAAAATAATAAATTCTTTTACTGCTGCTGCTGGTGGGTGAAAAACTGAAAATCATAAATTCTTTTACTGCTGCTGATGCTGGTGGGTGAAAAACTGAAAATCATAAATTCTTTTACTGCTGCTGCTGCCGGTGGGTGAAAAACTGAAAAATCATATGCCTTTACCATGGTCATTGTCATGTCATGTGTCCCCAGTACAAACAATTGATTTGCGGAGACGAAGGAAAATTATATTAATAAAATATTGTAATTTGAAAAATAGAACGAGATAGCAAATAATTTGGTTAAGATGTTTATATTGTTGTAAATTATCTTTTTAATATATTTAATCTTTTTATAAAAATAAAAAAGCAAATAATCATCAGGCACTACACGACAATTTTGAACAAAATAGGATAAAACCTGTTGTGGTGGAAAATGCAGAAAACCGGTTCAACGGAAGTACGGAAGTGACGAAACCGTACTCATATTGTTATTTACAGTTTCTGTATAGTGTTTTTTTTTTGTCTTTTTAATATTCCTTTGTACTATTTTGATACAGTTTCTGTACATCTTTTGCAGACTCCGTATGCATTCTTTGTCGTTTTGAAGTTTTCTTTGTACGAATGCCTTCAAGAGCAATGCCAGTTGCCCGCCCATGCTGACTCTTAGTCAAAACAACAATCATGGAAGCCCTTTTCTTTTTTTTTTTTTACCACCTGAAGATGATAATAAAATTACATAGATCATAATTAGGTCCTTAAACTATTATACTCCCTCGTTTAAAAATATAAAATATTTTAATTAAATTTTATCTTTCAATAAAATAATTATTTATTTTAAAATTAATTTTATTTTTTATATATTATCTCTATTAAATATTTTATAATAAATATAAAGTCACTATTAATAAAAGTATTTTTAAAAAAAAGACAATAATTACACTTCAAAAGATTAAAAATGCCTTATATTTTAAATATTTAATTCTTTACAAAATGTCTTATATTTTTAAACAGAGGGAGTAATTTTTTTCAGGTTTCTATATATTTTTCTGACATTAATAATTTTAAGTTAAATAATTAAATTATTCTTTGTTTAAAATAACAAGTTACAATTTTTTTTAAACAATCGCAACTTTTACTCAACTTTTCACAAGAATTTTTTTATTATTGAAATCTAAATTTTGAAAAATAATCAGTCACAATTTTTATTTAAGTAATTATAATTTTTATTATGAATCACAAATATTGAACAAAAAATTATAAATTTTTGTGTGAACTTTCTTTTACAATTGAAGTTCAAGTTCTAAAAATAATCAGTCACAACTATTATTTAAATAATCATAACTTTTATTTTGTGCATCACAAATGTTGAACAAAAAATCACAACTTTTCATATGAAATTTTTTTATCATTCAAGTTCAAATTTTGAAAATAATCAATCATAACTTTTATTTAAGTAATTACAACTTTTATCTTGTGAATTGTAAATATAGAACAATAAATCACAATTTTTCACATGAATTTTTTTTATTGTTAAACAAGGAAAATTTTTATTATTTAACCTAAAATCATTAATTTCAGAAAGGTACTTGGGGACTTAAGAGGAATTATAGCATTTTAAAGGACCTAATTGTTATTTAGATATTTTAGTGAGATTTTATTTAATTTTCATTTTTCCTTTTTTATTTATTTTATTTTTATTTTTTATCTTTTAAAAAATTAATTGTTATATTATAATATTTTATATTCATTTTTAAAAGTACAAATATATATTCTAAATTCTAATTTTAATCCAAAATTTTAAAATATTTCATTTTTGGGGGTGAAATAAATACTCCCTCCGTTTAAAAATGTAAGGTATTTTTTTTGAGTTATTGGATATTCAAAAATGAAAGGTATTTTTAATCTTTTGAGGTGTAATAACTGCCTTTTTTTAAAAGTGTCCCTATTGATAGTGACTTTATTTTTATTATAGAGTGTTTAATAGAAATAAATATAGAAAGATAAAGTTAGTTTAAAAATAGATAATTATTTTATTGGGGGATGAGATTTGATTAAAAATTTTTTGTTATTTTTAAACAAAAAGAATATGAAATTCAATGGAAAGCTTGACTGTGAGCACATTTTTTCATGCGAGCCAAGCCTAAAAGTCTTTGTATAAAAAAAGGACAATTTTCAGTGCTCAAGACTTCAAAAAAAGTGCTTAAACAACCAGCTGGACAAGCTTGCACAAATGCCAGCTAAGGTCCAAGAGGGTTGCTAGCTAGTCAGTAGTCACCACCCGATGTTATTAGTAAATGATCCTTTTATCTCATATTTATTAAAAAATATATATTATGTCCGTGTAAGAATTAAGATGAGTTTAATTACAGAAAAGTTAATTATTTACAACTTACAGTTTGATTCAATTAGAATTTGGTTCTTAAATTTTGAGTCGGTGTTTTGGCTAAACACCAAAAAAGAGGCGGGGGGGGGGGGAAAAGAGTCCGTACAATTAATCCTCAGTACCTAAAGTTTGATTCGTGCAGCTCAAGTTCTAAATTTTGACCTAGTACCACTCAATTCATATAATTTTAATTATTTAAAATATTATTTTTATATTTTGAAAAATGAAATTATAAATACTGAAGCTATTTCTTGAATTAAGAAACTAACGTCTTAAATTGCTAAAA